AGTAAGACAGAGGCTTAGACTGCACCCTGTGAAACCCTGGCTATCAAGACAGTAAGGCATACAGATTGAGAGCACTGACTTCCCTCACACTCGGCTTCCGATTTCTCCTGATCTGGGGCAAGTTGTTTTATCTCCAAGACACAGTTTCCTCCATTATAAAAATAGGAGTAACAATCCCTTATGAAAGTTAGTGACATGATCAAATAGGGGCACTTATTTAATGCCTGATATAAAATGATTTCCTATCATCTAAGAATGGCCTTCTTAAAATTGATGGATTTCTTAAAACTGTGATGGTTGGGGTGGGTAAGAAGAATATCTCTCCCATAGTGCCCTTGCAGAGGGGTGGAATAAGGTCGTAGGCTGGCCTTCAATCTCCCACTTGAAACTTGAAACTTGAATCAGCTCCTATCTGAATGAGGTGGTCACCCCCTCTCGGTACAGAAGTGTATGACAGGCGTTTTTCCATGTGCCAGGGCGTGATTCCCATGTGACATGGCTTAACCACAAACCACAAGCAATGCCACTAGACAATTGGTCCTGCAATCTAATTATCGCTAGAAGGGCTACAAACTACGTTTTATAAAGAAAAGTTTTCAGTAGACGCTCGTTGATTCTGTGGTGTGTCTGTCACCTTCACCCCGGCATGTCACCTCACTGAGTGGTCTGGCGGCACTCTTTGTCAGTGGTATGTTAGTTACTGAGGCTGCCATGACAAGACACCGCAGACAGGATGGCTCACATAACAGGGTCGCATCGTCTGCAGTTCTGGAGGCCGGGGGCCCAAGATGAGGGTCTCGGCAGGGCTGGCCTCTCCCTGGCCTCTCTCCTGGCGTGTAGACGGCCCCCATGTGTCTGCACACGGCTTTCTTCCACATGCACATCCCTGGAGTCCCTATCTGTGCCCAGTTCCCTTTTATAAGGAATCAGCGAGAGTCCGAGAGCCCGCCTTCTTGGGCTCATTTAAATTTAGTCATCCCTTTAAGGGCTCTCTTTCCAAATATGGGCACATTCTGAAGTGGGGAGCAGGACTCCCACACTAATATATTCTGGGGGGAGGGTGACATAGCCGAGCTGATAATAGCTATAAACCTGGACATTATATTCCTAATGGTACCACTCCGGGGGGCCTTATGGCTGGGGAGAGTTTTGTACTTAACTTTTTTTTCAAGGGACCAGCAGATGGCGTAATGGCTACGTTGCTGGACTAGCTCATAGATGATTGTGATTCGAGTCCTGGACTCAGCGGCTTGAAACTCAATGCTGGGCATGTGTGTGTGCATGCCCTAAATCCTGAGAGGAGACTGGAGGAGAAGGGATTGCGGCCTGGCCATTCCCCTAGAGGATGATTTCTCACGTTCTGTCACTCTGTCTCTCTCTGGCTCTCTGGTGAGTGCACATGCCCTACAGCAAAAACCTCTTTTAAAAAAATTCAAGCTAAAGTTGTGGCTGTGGATTAAAATGTTAAAAACAAAAGAAAACAAAACAAAACAACAAAAAAAACCACACTGAAATGTTCTAACTTATCATTTGTGTCCATATAAGGGACCGACCAGAATTTGGCTCTTCTGGAAATACTCCATTGGAGCCCTTGTCTGCGAGGGCCCTCGATTCAGCCCCTGACCTAACGACACTCCCGTTTCCACACGATGCCCTCCTGGCTGCTTTCTGACTGAACTGTGCTTGCTGTCACATGACTGTTAGTGCAGACGACTGTGCCACGCAGCACCCTGAGCACGGGCAAGCCCAGGTGTGTACGAGGAAGGGCATCGAAGCCAGCCTACTTACCTCCCCTCCAGGCCATGGAGCCTGAAGTCGAACGCAGATTTGTTTAGGGAGTTCTCTGAAGAAGAGGGATGCAGTTTGCATCTCATCCCCGTTGGTTCTGTGAGCCCAGGAAGGTGACAGTCGCTCTAAACAAGACCGCCCTGGTACCCGGTAGGCCACCACAGGAGCCCTGCACAGAGGGCAGGCAGCCTCGCGAGCCGCTCCACCGAGCGCATGGAGACGCCCCCCCA